ATTTCCTAAATTTAACTAGATTTGGGAGATCCAATTTTACGCTATGTAATACCAAAAGGAACAAATCCGCCGTTTGGCACTGTATAACAGTTACCCTTTCAATTACGCATCACTTTGTGCAATAAACCATGAGTATTATTTGATAGGTGGACTTTATATGCAACAAATATGTATGTACGTACGGAGTTCTAGACGTTAAATTATATTTAGGCTAGTGTTGTAAACAATTAAAATAATTTAGTATATTATGAAATCCTAAAATCAATACCAAATTATAATTTTGCATTTTTAATAATTTTTTTTTTTTTTAATATTTAAGGTGAATTTTTAATAATTTTTGCATTATTCATGCTAATAAGTTGATAGTATCTTGTAACGTACATACTATATAAAAGTCATTCAATCAAATTATTTTAGAATTTAAATTTAATTAAGTTACAAGGCATTTCCGGAACTGTATGATATGCAATTTAATTGGACGAGTATCACGTGCATATGTAATTGGTTAGATTGCCTAACATCATGTGAGCTGGTGGACAAACATTGTAATTAGCATCAACAAAGTGTACTGTACTTTATTGAAGTTGATAATTTAGGAAATATTTGATTTCAATATGCTACGTACTTATTTATATAAGGTGTGATTGAATGGTTTTTAGATTGTTTGCATTGTACGTATACTACGTATATACCCATAGTTTCTTAATTATGTCCAACCAATTTACTCAAAAATATGGGGAAGTAAATAACAATTCACTCGAATCTTTTTTAAAAGGATTGAATGACCTAGTTAGAGAAGTTAATCAAATTCACGAGTGTGCAGAATGTAATAAAGAACTTAGCTTAATTATGGTGGAACGAGTAGCACTCGGAGAATTCGCCATAAGAAGAATGATAGAAAAAAATAACGGCGAATATTATTTTCAAAAATGTTTTTTAACCTTTAAAAAATTTGAAAATCTTTTGATAAATATTAAGGATTTTGCTGCTAAAGTGTCAAAAATCGAAGGTTTTAGAAAATTTACCGGCGCGACAGAAGCTAAAAAAAATTATGAAGATTTAATAAAAGATTTTGATAAAACTATGAATGATCTACATTATACCATAGCTGTCAATGAAAATCAGGATCAAAAAGTCGGTGAATCTCTAAAAGCTGTTGAAGAAGTATGTATATATAATTATTTAAAAATACATAGCCTTGTATTAATTCTGAAAGGTTTTTTTTTTTTTGTTAATCCATTTTTAGACTCTCGAAAAAATTGGCAATAAGCTCGATTTAGTAGTTCAAAGTGTGAACATTGCTAAACCTTCATATGATGTCCCTCCACCAAAGATCGATAAAAATGAATTAGATGAATATTATGAACAAGTGCATCGTGGTTCAGAGAACTGTCCTGTCATAAAAAAAATTTACAAAGGCTTAGAAGCTGCATGTAGGCCCACAGGAAAGTCTAAATATCCTGATCATGAATTAGCAATACTTGAAAAATTGGGTCAATCACCATACATTCTCCAATTTTATGGTCTCTCATATGTTGATTACCGTGAAGTTATGGTTTTCGATTGGGCTGAACATGGAACTTTAAAAGAGCTTTATAATAATTATCATATTTCATGGACTAGAAAAATACGAATTATTCGAGATATTTGTCGTGGTTTTATATATTTGTGCAGTGTAAATATTTTCCATCATGATGTGAGATGCAAAAACGTTTATGTAAGTATTATTTATGAATAAAAGTAATTTATTTTTTATAGAAATTTTTCTTAAAACCACTTGATCAAATTAATGCTCAAAGTTTAGAAAAAAATCTTTTCGATAAAGCAACTTATTATATTCTTGCCATATTTAAATGTACCGAATTCAATCGCCTTATTTATTAGTATATTTTGTAATAAAATATAAATACTGATAAGCTACTAATATACGATTGCCAATCCATAGATATCACATAACCTGGATCCAAAACTTGGAAACTTCGGATGTAGTCGCTCGACTGAAGCGAGAATTTCTCGAAATCTTTCTGATCTATCAATTGATATTATACACTGGATGGCCCCTGAACAGATCGATAAATATAAAAATGGAAATGTTAAAGATGTTACAAAAAAAATTTATACACTTAATAGTGAAATTTTCAGGTATGTATTAATTATTTAATATTATAAGGATCATTTGTATTGAGATTTACTTTATTTTCTTTGTAATTAGTTTTGGAATGCTTATTTGGGAACTTTGTTATGAAAAAATACCTTACGAATGTTGGAATTTTAAAACAATAATAGACCATGTTCTAAGTAAAAAACGAGAAGACCTCTCACACGGAAAATTTGACAATCCTGATGATGAGAAGATTCAACTAGAATTTATTAAAATAATTTGCGAAGGTATTTATATAAGTTTGTTTTCTATTTAATTGGTTTGATATTTATTTTTATATTGTCGTATTGATATTTGTTTTTCATTTTGTTGGCAAACAGCATGGGAACACAAGCCATTCGAACGAATAACTATTACAAATTTGCATCACAAACTTGAAGAATTGACTGTAGCCTACCCAATTCTTGATAGCATATATTTGAACAAAAAAACACCGAATACTAATGAAGTGGATACTACGAAAACTATAAACCTAGTATTGTCAGAATCCGAACACAAACCTGAAAAAGGTTCACCATATATTCCTCTTGAAGAAGGAATCAAGCTCCATCAAAGTAAAGAACACGAAAGAGCATGGCAATGTTTTGTTGAAAATGCTAACCTTGGCAATTTAAAAGCAAAATACTGGCAAGGATACTACTTATATCATGAGTACGGTGTTGTAAAACAAGATATTGAAAAGGCAAAGCAACTATTTAAAGAAGCTGCTGATAGTGATCATTCTGATGCACAGTATCGATACGCAGCTTTATTGCTTTTTGACCTAAAAAAAGAAGAAAATAAAGATGAATATTGTAAAGAAATTCTACATTATTTCAAATTAGCAGCTGATAATAACCACATTGATGCAATATATTGTATGGGAGATATCTATGCAAGAGGAAAACTTCAAGTGCAGCAAAATAAAGAACTTGGTTTAGAATATTTAAAATTAGCAGCCAAAAGCGGTCACCAAAAAGCAATTAATCTTTTACAGGAATTAGGTAGATTTATATTCAAATTGTTTTACTAATTTGATAATTTTTTAATTTTTTGTTCTTCAACTAAAATTATGTTTTAATTGAACTAGAAACCTCTACGCAACCAGAGCCTATGGATACTGAGGTATAGTTCCTTGATGATTGTATTTATCTTTATTTTATATTAACAGAAATAATCGTATTTTCTTATAGCATGAAAAAGCGAATGAGCTATTAAAAGGTGAAATTTTAGATTTGCATTATTCATTTCTATATCTATAAAATTATATGTTTAATTTAAAACCTTTTGCTTAAATGATCTAGATTTCGGTAATATCCCACCCACTAATTATAATATAAATGAAGCAACCGTCAAGTAAGCATAAACTTTTATTAAAATAGATTTTCATCTATTCAGTCAGCCAGCTATTGTAGTTCTGAAATCATTGATTATTTTCAATTTAACTCCTGATACTCCTAATTCGTATTCGATAGTATTGTTTGGTATACCATATGTAAACAAGTACATGGGCTTGAATATACAGTCAAACCTCAGTTATATCACTCCTTTTGCTCAGAATTTTTTTGTATATATACAGCAACTTTGGTAGAGATATAACTGAGGTAAAGTGTGATAAATATGGGATATTTATTCCACTAAACAATGGGGTTAAATATAACTTAATGGAGGTTTGGCAGTACGTTAAATTGATAATAAAAAGTTATGGTCAACCCTTTCGAAAACGGTAATAATCAAGCTATTTATATCAGACATTTGTAATGCATAACTTTCTGAGACTAAGTTAATAGCATCATGTAATACGATTGTGCTTGTGAGTGTCGCCAAGCGAAAACCAGGAATTAAAATATAGAATTCTTTACACAACGTAATGTGAATAATGTCGTACTATTAAAAACAGCATAAAGAATTATCCTGGTCGTCTTGATTGGGCCACATTAAGTTATACGTACTTTGAAGTTTACATTTGCCAGCAATGTTTTAGTTAAATAACCATGATTATGTCAGACGAATTAATAATAATATATTTTTTGTTACATTAAGAAATCGGGTCATAACCAATTGCAAGATGAGCAAATACGAAGAATCACTCGCAGATTTGAATAAATCATTAGAGATTGAACCAAATAACGTACGGGAATTAGGAAGTCGTGGAAAAACTTATCTTATGATGAATAGATATGAAGAATCACTCGCAGATTTTAATAAATTGCTAGAGATTGAACCAAATAATGCATGGGCATTAGGAATTCGTGGAGAAACTTATCGAATGATGAGTAAACATGAAGAATCACTTGCTGATTTAAATAAATCGTTAGAGATTGAACCAAATAATTCATTTGCATTAAGAAGTCGTGGTATAATCTATCGCAAGATGAGCAAATATGATGAATCACTCGCAGATTTGAATAAATTGTTAAAAATTGAACAAAATAATGCACCGGCTTTAGGAAATCGTGGAGAAATTTATCGTATGATGAATAGATTTGAAAAATCATTCGTAGATTTAAATAAATCGTTAGAGATTGAACCAAATAACGCATGGGTATTAGGAATTCGTGGAGAAACTTATCAAATAATGAGTAAATATGAAGACTCACTCGTAGATTTAAGTAAATCACTAGCAATTAGACCTGATAACGAAATTACACTATACAACCGTGGAGTAACTTATCTAATGATGAACAAATATGAAGAATCATTTGTAGATTTAAATAAAGCATTAACAGTTAGAATAAATAATGTAATAGCATTAAATGATTGTGGCTTAACTTATTCTACAATAAGAAAACGCGATGAATCACTTGCAAATCTAAATACATCGGATAAAGATGATATTCTCTTAGACACAGCACTACAAATGGCTTCGACTGGAAATAAAAACGAAATATTGGAAAATGAACTATCATATAATATCCGGAATGAGAATGAATTTTATGTAAATATTTGTCGACAGTTGAAGAAACTGATTGACATTTGGCGACAAGACAATGCGAAGTTATTAAGCACTTGTGAAAAAATATTGGATATATTTACGAGGTTTACAGAATTTGATAATAAAAATATTATCCTTAACAATGAATTAATTCCAATCATTAAACTTCTAGAAATACATACTGATAACAACACGAATTTTCTAACAAAGTTGCTTAGGACAGTTAGTTTATTTATTGAAAGCAATTTAGATACTTTGAAAAACTTTTGCCTTCAAGGTGGAATTCCTATTGTCATAAAGTTTACGTCAAAATCTTATAACTATGAAACCCGAGTTGAATCAGCGATGATTATTCAGAAAATTTGGGACAGTTCGTCCCATCTTTCCTTCGAAACGTTTATTGACTGTGGAGAGTTAGGATATTTAATAGAACCACTACAAGAAGATTACAATGCGCACAAAGAGTTGATTTTAATCATGATAAAAGGGATATCAAACGTTTTAGAGGTTCAAAATTTATCCGTGAAAGAAAAATTATGTAGGATGTTAGTTAATATTGAAACCTTAGACTTATTAGCCATCACACTTCATAACATCATTTCGGATAAAAATCTTGAAATTGATATTCATGCAGAAAGAATAATACATGTGCTTTGGTTTCTTTCAGAAGGACAATTTATAGAAACCATTATGGATCATGCAAATTTGGTCACAGGGATAATTAAAGTTATTAATAACATTTTAAACAATTTGGATACCTCACATAAAGAAAAGATGATTAAATTTCTTATTGTAATGCTGGATAAACAAAAGCAAAGAGATAATAACATTTCATATAAAATTCTTGGTACAATATTTAAAATTTGTCAATATAATAAGTTTTTCCAAGAAACTGCTGCCAAGGCAGGGATCATTACTCACTTATTATACTTTACAAAAAATCAAAATTTCAACAAAATTGCACTTATATTACTTTTTAAAATGACCAATGCAGGACAAGTTTGTGAGGATTTATTGTGGAAAAATAATCGTGAAATTCTAGAGCTATATTTTTCTCTTCTAGATAAACAAGAATATCAAGCAAGTGCTCTTGAAGTTATTTCGAAATGGTTGCAAGAAAAAACTTCTGAAGTCGAACAAATTATTACTTTACCTGAAAACATTAACCTTATTTTAAAGGCAATGAATACAGCTAAAGAAAGTTCAATAGAAAATATTCTAAAATCTCTTTACATTATTATTCAGTCATCTTTATATGTCTCTTGCTCACTTGCACAAAAAAATTTCTTTAATGGTTTTTTGTTTTGGTTTGAGCAATATCAAGATTCTGCTATAAGATTAAAATTGTTAAAAATACTGAGATCTTTATGTGAAGTTAATCCACAACGCGAATTTATAATTAATAAATATAAATTAGTCGAAGCTATTGAAAAAATAAGTGGCATTGATCCTTCATCGCAAGTAAAAGAACTTGCTAAAGAAATATTATCCCAAAAATACTTTATCAAAGAAAATTTTAATCAATATTTGATTGGAAAATCTTGCTTAACTAAGGGAATAATTATTGATGCACGAAAAGTTTGGCATACAGAATTTTACATATTTAACTTAACAATTGACCCAACAATCAATATTTTAGAAAATACGCAATGTGATATAAAAATATTTTTGTGCACAAAAAGAAAGAAATCATTTCTATTAGATAATGATATTGACATATCATCTTTTCAATCAGTGCAACCTGAGTGGTTTACGGTAGTTGAAAATGGAATTAATAAGTCCACAATGAACCCTCTGATCGACGATTCTGCTATAAATGATGTTTATTTGGAGATACAATACCCACAAGCTGAAATATTTTTCGAAAAGGAAAATATACAACCTTCCGAAGAGCTGAAGAAAGCAGTAGACGCTGCATTAAAAGACCAGGATCCACATCATGAGTTGATGAAATTTTTTGCTAAATATGGGCATTTTTTTGCTCAAAAAATCACAGTAGGGCAAAGGCTATATAGGATATCCCAATTAACATTAAATAAAATGACTGATCTGCAAAAATTCCATGAGGTCTTTGATGGCGTTTATGATATAACAGGGAATAATGTGCAACAATTGACTTTGTGGGAAGAACAAATTAAACAAAATGGCCTTGATTCAACTTATTTCATATCAAGCGATGGAGACTTAATTCAGAAGGATGATCTTGAAAAATGGAAAACTTGGTGTATCGAATATCCTCACGAATCACTGAAAATTATCAAAAAGAGCAATTTGACACCTTTACATGAAATTTTTGATCCAACTATTCAAAACAGCATCAGATCAGTACTTGGAATAGGTGACATGACTACATTAAAAATCAGCGAAAGAGTGCTCATGACTGGAGTTTTTCAAATTCAAGAGCCAAGAAAATATTATCGTATAAATTTTGGTAGACATTTAAAAAGTCATAATTATCAAGTTTTTGGAAATGTTGTAAACAAAAAACAACAACATATTGAAGGTTTTGTTGTAAATTTCAATTCTGAGAATAAATCTGGATTTTCTATAAGGATTAAAAGCCCTAAAGATATTAGGTAAACATATACTATTTATTTCTGTACAAAAAGTAAATTCCCAATCAACTGGGGACCCGAAGGACCCCTAGATTATTGGAATTTACCCGAAGTGGGAAATAAGGGTGTTCGTATTCTTCGTTAATATGACGTTATGCCGGATTTTTCGACTCAAATGCACGTGGCTCTCGATATAATGGGTATTGTTTAATACGGAGAATTATTATGGAACCAAATTATGATTTATATAATATCCGATATATTGAGATTTTCATATCATGGAGCTTTTGATATAACGAAGCAAAGGACTGAAACCTTGGCCTCTGTTATATCGAGAGAATTTTTTTGTCGTAATAACTAAAAGAATTATAAAATAAGTCTTTTCATTTGAAATACAATTAAAAGTTATTTACCCTTAATAATGTGATACCATCGTGTGGACTAAAAGAATTATAAAAATCTTCATCCTAAATAACTTTATTGTGTTCTATCAAGCGACTTATTACAACAGCCAAGATTTAAAAACTTCCACCCAAAGTAAAACTATCGTGTAAACTAAGAGAACTATTTTCATATCTGTATAAAATTTAAAGTTCGCCTGGAAGTGACAAGTATTACCGGTGAATAACGGGCATTATCATAAAATTAGTTTTTTTATACTGATTAAAGCAGTGCTTATAGTAGAAAAGTCCTGTCATGCGGTCATATGGAGACATGGAATGAATTTTTTAAACTTAATCCATATTTTAATATTAATTTTATTTATGTAGAAATGTCAACTGGTCAGAATTACAAGTTATTTGGATATTAGTTGGAAAACCAGCAGAGATAGGTTTCTATAGCTTAAACACTCGAAATATTCTAATTCTGCACGAAGGTCGAACCCAATTCACACAGTCGGACAAAAGCATTTCTTTGGGTTTAAAAAGTTTACCGTCAAGTTCAATCCTAGTTACATCATTTAGCTATCCTTCATACACTTTATCCAATGTTGAACCATTATTTATAGTCGAAATACGAAATTATAGCAACGACGAACTTAACTTAAATATTATAAATTATAATCCTCTTGATTTTGATGAGGATGAAGAATCCGATAGGGATAGCAAAAATAATGTGATTGATGATGATATTAATAATACAAGAACCAATGACCGTGATAGTATGAATGATGATAGCTCAGACACTTATTTTTTACAATGGTATGTTATTTCAGAATCACGCGAATTTATAAAAGCTGATATTGTTACTGAATCATATGAAGTTAAATTTATAAATCTAAGTTCAATTGGACAAAAAATGAATAATATTTAGCATGTAGTTTAAATTTGTATTTAAAAAAAGAAAGCTTAACATAGTAATTTCTGCTTGAGAGAAATTTTATATAAGATCGTTTTTATTTAATGAATGCACTACTATACAATAAAAAATAAATTAACTTTTATGGTTGTTTCGATCTTTCCTTGGTGTCAGAAAGGTAATCTAGGTTGGCTCCTCTTTATTGTTTGATTTAAACATTATTTTATTTATAAAAGATATAAATCTGTGAAAATCTAAATAAGAAACAATGTTTAATAAAAATACAATTTAACTTGTATTTTATAAGACACCAAAGTACATGATTGATCTAAAATTTTTCCCAAGTGGCACACCATTTAACGATCCATACATTACTTTATCGGAAGTAATATTTACAAGTCCATGATACTTACATTCGGACGGACAAGTTTCAAAAATTATACTCGTTAAGAATGAAGTTTTCTGTTGTCTAGTCAGTTTAATAGCGTTTGATAGACATTTCTGGTTTTCAGTTCCATAAGAGATCAATGGTTGTGACTTGTCATTTTTCCAGCTAATGTTATACAGTTCAATATTGTGTGTATTGCCGCATTTTGCAATGGTACTTTGAAAAAGATAGATTAGCAAAAATGGTCAATAATAAATATTACTGAAATTAATTTTTTACCTACCAAAAAAATAATTTTAGCCTTATTAAGAAATTTTTGTCGGTAACTAAGTTGCTTTTTTTAATATTAAGATCACGGATGAATAGACATGCTGAATTTTTTGCCTGAGAAAAATGGACACTGACTGCAATTGTTGATTTAGGATCATATAGTATATCATTTTGTGATTCTAATACACACGTGCCCAAATAACAAGTTTCGGGAATGTTGGCGTTTATTAGTGGGACTTCTACAATATACTGATTGTTTTTATTAATCTTTATATCATATTTGCCACTATCAATTTCTATTTGATTAAAATCAAAGTTGGAAGGATAACCTATAACTACCCAACTAATTAGAATTTCATACTTGTTTGATTTTTTTTGTTTTCGTCGTTTTTCGTTGCTTACAATATGATGAATAAGGATTATAGGGCTATCTTCATTCTCATAATCGACGCGAGAAGAAAATATATCTTTATCTTTCTCGTTCATTATAGACGTAAAAATTTGACATTCAAATATATTAGGAATATCTTCTAACTTCTTATATAATTTATAAATTGCTGGTTTTCTGGATTCATCTAATATAAAGGAGAAAGGCTCAACATTTTCTATTTCAATCGTAATAATAACATAAAGATTAGTGATAAAATCGTGGTGTAATTAGAAATAAAATATAAGCGTCTTACTTTTTAAAATTCGTTGACCCAAAGCCTCCTTAATTTTTTTTTGCAAATCATCACTCAATAAATCGAAAATAAAATGAATATCATCATACCCAATTATATCCCATAACTGATGATCTTTAAGTGACTCCATCCATTTGTTCAAACCATCTTGGTAGTAATATTCTGCTATATTTCCACCAATAACCTGATTAATTGCATCTGAATTGATGTCTAATGATCTATTTTCGATTTCTGATTCATAGTTAATGCTGTTAGTTAAATTTATATTATTCGTCTGTGCGTTTATGTTATTTGTCTTTTTTATTTCACCTAAAATTCAATACAATTAATAGTGGTAAAAAATCATACAACATTATAAACAATCTTAGCTTACTTGATTTAACAACCATACCACCAAAAACAACATGATGTGCGTAAAAGAGACCATATTTTTTTGTAACATCGCGAAGTTTTTTTACTTTATTGCGTCCCATTAATGCTTCTTTAACATCATTTTCAAATTCTGAAGTTGGATGAATATCATCTTTCGAAATTTTAATTTCAGCCATTTGCACTTTCTTACGGGAATATTTTTCCGAATTCGATTCAGTCTTAAGCCTTTGATCTAAAGTTTTTAGTGATATTCCCGAAGAAAAACTAAGCCAAGGTAGAATAGCTGAGATATTTCCATCAAAAACGAGATTACTTTTGCACGATGAATTCAGTTTATGACTATATTCAACTTCTTCTTCATAAACTTTAAATCGCGAGTCACATACCACTTTCTCTTTGTTGTGTATGATGAATGCTTCTTTTGTGGCTTTTTCAATTGAGTAATCCTTGAAAATGAATCCACTTGTAGATTCCTCAATCAGTTGAGTCCAATCAGGACTAGATGTCTTAATAATTTTTAAAATGGCTTTATCATCAGTAATATCTAAAATTTCGAGTAATTTTCCATTAGACTCACTTTCACGTGCAATCCGAAGCCCCTCTTTATCTAAAAAATAATAATTCAATTTCATTTTTTGAGCTTCATTGCTATTTTTCTCAAGCGTAGTTCGAATGTTCTCGAGTGTTGCCTCTTTGGGTAGTTCATATTTAAATCTTAGGTAATCATTGTTTTTCTCGTCGGCTTTGTCTATAATGTAAATAATTACAGCTATAGTGGTAGCAGATATATATAAAATTTTATTCTTATGAACTTCAGCTAACGTCTTTTCACTTTCATCTCTATGGTTAATATCAATGAATTCTTCTTTTTCATTATCAACCTTATTGACCATCATTTTAAAAATAAAATTTATATATATTTTTTCTTTTACAAAATGTTTTCTTATACTGGTGAGATTCTCATTCATGCCTAAAAAATGTGTTTCCATTCGATCATCAATTTGAACATTAATCGCAATTTTGGACTTGTCAGTTGTAATGTAAATAGTATGATTTTCACAAAGGATTCCTGATAGTTTATCTTCATCTTTATGATCAATTGGTGTACCATTCTTATTTTTTTTAAATTGAAGTTTTTCTGGGTCCAAGTTTTTTTTTTCTGCTATGTATTCCCGTATTTCATTAAGTGGCATGTCTAATTGAAACCATTCTGAAAAAGATTCATTGCAATCAATTTTGACTGCAACATTAATTATACTTTCCTCAATGTCCTCCATGACCGGATATTGATTACAATAACCGGTGCTACATATTCCGTTAACGTTATCTGCATCGGCAAATTTTTGATAATAAATGAATGCCTTATGTTCATCCTTCGCAACTCCAATTCCATGACGATAGCAATATCCAATCCTATTCATTCCTATAGCATTACCCACTTCAGATAACTTCAGATAATATTCAAATGCTTTCATCTCATCTTTAGTAGTACCTATGCCATATTCGTAACAAATTCCAAATCTATATAAACCATCAGTATCACCACGTTCGGCAAGTTTTGAATACCATTCAAACGCTTTTTTTAGGTCCTCGGCAGTTGCTTGATTATTTTGATTATGTTCGTATGGGATATTATTAAGCGTTTGACCAAATAAATTATATGAGATTATCTTTTCTCCTATATCCACTTTGAATTTATTTACTTCACAGGGATAAATAATACACACATATAAGCTTAATTGCGGTAGTTTGAGAAATTCTTCATTTAAGTTTATCCCCGTCATTTTTAAATGAAGAACACATTCTGCCCATTTTATTATTTTAATTTTCGGTGTTGGAAGATTGTTAAGTGGTGGATCGTACGAAGAAACCAATAAAACTATGTCATTCTCGGACATTATATATGGCAAAGAAATATAAACTAAGTCTGTTTTTGAGTAAACTGGTACGTGTACTTTATGCAAAACGATATTTGTTTTCAGATGTTGTGAACTAAAAGCTCCCAATATTTCAGGTTTTCCTACAATTAGCCATGCTACATGGCTAAAATGAATAGGATAAAAAAATATATATTAATAATTTTAAAAGTCCTGCAACTGTTTATAATGTAAATTTAAATTTGTAAATTTTTTCTATTATAAAATATAAGGTATATACTCACAGCCTTTTCACATTCTCAGCTGTTTCTTGATTAAGAATAATGAACGCAGAAAACCCATCACAATTAAATAGATCAAATCTTACAACTCCGCCTTCTAAGTTTTGATTATCGTCATCAATAACATGCCCGAAAACTTGAAAGCAATCATCATTTAAATACTCGCTAAAATTAATACGGATTTGAATTTCAGTGAGATCGCCTTTGCCCATGTCAACAGTTGTAAGACCTGTTAATAAGATCGATTCTAAATTTAATCCAATAAAACATATTTTCTTTAATGAGCTTTCCGAATTGTTCAGAAAAAAACAAGGAACATAATGTCATTTAAGCACATACAGTACCTTTAGACTCACTGTATTGCATTGGATTAATCTGACCTAAGTTATCTATAACAAACTTAGCATCTGGACGATTTTCTGGAATTTCATCCCAACATCGTTTGTAAAGCTTTATATATTGAGGAGGTGTTCCTTTCACAGGTGTCTCTCTCCTGCCTCCGTGTATGGAAAGGACAATCTGATCTCTAGAAAAAGTATCGAAAGGCGGTCTTCCGCTTGAAATTTCCCAAAGGATCATTCCAAAACTATATATATCAGACTTTTTGTCACGTTTATATGAGGTATTAATAAAACATTTAGGCTCAATGTATCCAAGCATTCCATGCGCAACAGGGCTCAAATTTCTTGATAGCTCGTTATTATATATAGCTAAACCAAAGTCCGCAATTTTCATCTGTCCATCGCTGACCAAGATATTTTTCGAATGCTAAAAATTAGCATATTAGTATATTAGATCAAGTACTCTTTTAAATGAAAATATATATTATTAGGTATATTACGAGATCACGATGAATGATGTCTTTAGAGTGTAAGTGTTCAAGTCCATTAATTATTTCACTCGCAATACGTATCTTCATAGCCCATTTCAGTTTCGAAAAATTTTCTTTAAGGTACTCCCTCAGATTACCATTATTTGCTAATTCCAAAACTAAATTGTAATAACCGCTGATATGGTCTATAATTATGCATAAATTAATAATATAAAAACTTAGCATTATAATTAGTAATTCGCCTCGGGGCCAACGAACAAACATGTTAAGAAATGGAAAATTTTACTATATGTATTTAATCTAGAATTTTTAAGATAAATAATGTTTCTAAGCAATCCTTTCTTATATTCTAATTAGAGAAGATTAATCCAGCCATAATGGTAGTTAAAGCATTAAAATTGAACCAGTGAATCGTGAAATGTAATTGTTTTAACATTTTTCCTTTTTTATATTGCAAAAAGCAAGAGATCGCGAATTTTATACTATGATGATTTTAACGTTTTAACTAAACTTCAATTTATTTTTTGGAAAACTTCAAATCTCAAATTTGAATAAATTGTATCTGTCTCTTTACTGGTTTCCAGACGGATGACCAATTAATAATTGTAAATAGCATTACTTGCCTTTAGTAACTCCATAGAATTTAATAATATTTGGATGCGATTCAATTTTTCTCAGTAATTTAAGCTACAGAATTGCACAATTTTTTTACCAATATGTCTACGTTGTAAATTAATTATCTGTAATAATAACTATACCTCTTCCAAAAGAGCTATATGTGTATTTTCAGCAGTTTCATGTGGGCGTTTATTAAAACTCTTGAGAGCAACCAACAGTCTTTGACCTTCCCACTTGGCTTCATAAACTATTCCAAATCCACCTTCACCAATTTTACGATGCCCATTAAATTCTTTATAGTCAAAAGTTTTAATATCACCTGAATTTATTTCTTCAGTCAATTTGACTATTGTTGAATCGACTTTATTTTCAATTCTATTGTTGGTGGAAGAATTTAAGACCGCAGAAATATTAGGCTTTCTAGGAATCTTTTTTTTATTACTGTTAACTTGATTTATAATAAACTCTATTGTAATTTCCGTAGATAATTTATTGAGTTCAACTAAAACTTGGTCTAAAGGTGGACGTTGATCCGGTTCAGCAGACCAACATTTTACGTAAAGATTAGAATAATCTAAAGGTGTATTGTCAATTATTTTTTCTCTTTCATTTAGTGCAATTTTGAAAGGAATATCATCCTTCTTAAGATTATTAAAAGGTGGGATTCCACTTGTGAGCTCCCAAAATAATACTCCTAAACTATAAATATCAGATTGTTCATTTATTTCTATTTCTTCTTCATAATTAATGTAACATTGTGGCTCTACGTATGCTGGTAAGCCCTTTGCACCTGTACTTGAAGTAAAACCACTAGTAGCAGTATCTAATCGTTTTGATATTCCAAAGTCAGTGATCAACGCCCTACCATTATCCATTAAAATATTCGAAGAATGCTATATACAAAATTTAAGAGTGTTGTCAATTTAAATTTAAAGCAAGATTAGAATATTAAAGGAAATAGGTCTTACTAGATCTCGGTGAATTATTTTTTTATCGTGTAGATGGATTAATCCAAGCGTAATTTCTTTTGCAATTCTTATAAGGTCAACCCACAATATTTTATAAAGGCCATCTTTTTGTTTGCTTAGTAAATATTCTCGGAGACTACCATCATTGGCATACTGTAGCACCAATATGAAATTACCCGTCACAAAATCTAAAATTTTGATCGAAATGTAAGGTTAGGTTTATTGAAAAATTGTATTAAGATTCGTTAGAACAATGTTGTTAAATCCGATATGTAGGTTGGGCTTAATATAATGATTCAGATTACTAGATTATTTGATTGTACAATAACCCAAACTACACTTAAGACTTGTCAAAACTCAGATCACGTTCTACTGTAAATTAAATAAGTATATGTTACTGTCCACTTCGCGGATAATGACTTATTTATTCCCAGGTTCTAATTATATTTCTATTCTATTTCTTCAAAGTAAAATTACGTATTTCATGAAGTCTAGCTTACTACAAATCGCAAAACCTCTTTCTCTTTTTTTTTCTTTAGCCAGCGATTTTTACTCTTTGTTAGTAACTCTAATAGTTTAAAATAATTAATAACTTCGTGTATCATTAAAAAAAAAAAAAAAGTAAATTATAAAATTCCGGATCAGCCTGAATCCAAAATCTGTACAATAATCAAGAAAGAATAGTATAGAAGTATAAATAGGAACCGGGGAATAAAATGCTATTTCCAGATGCCTAGCAACTTAAATTTTCTTCATTATACATAATAGTTTTCCTAACAAATATCTGGAATACGTATATAGTATATTAACAAATACTGTAAATTAATCTTAATAAAGAATATTAGTTTGGTACCGTTTAAACATTTTCAACTGATTACTTGCAGTGTTGGATCACATTCAATCAATATGAGAAAATTGCCGTAGCGTAATATAGTTGAACCTCCCAAACCCGATCCTGTCGATAAAAATTAATCTACCAAGTCTGTTTCTGATATATAAATCTAATATTTATAATGTTCTCAAATCTGATAACCTCTCAATATCGATATAAAATCTGTCCACTGTGCATATTAGTTTTGGAGGTTCAACTGTAATAAATTCTATAAGTCATAAATATTTAGCCAATAGGTCATAAAAGGCAACTGATTATTTGAACTATACCAAAACTACACAGATAATCACCAGCTTTTGATGTTTTTGTAAAGAGGACAGCCTATATAGTATATCGATAGTATATAGTAAATTATGAACACTTACTTCTAGAGGTTCCATAGAATTTAATAATATTTGGATGGTCATGAATCGTATAAAGGCACTTAATCTATATGTAATTATAGGATAATGAGGGTTCAGATTCTAATCTTGAGAAACGTATTAAGCACATTACCTCACGCTTAAATTGTTTGAATTCTTCTTCTTCGAATTTCAAATCAGTCTTTAGACTTTTTAATGCATAAATCTGTCCTTCAAAAATTGCCGAATAAGCGACTGCATAACCTCCCTCACCAATACGTTTGACATTTTTAAATTGCGAGTAATTAAAGCTTTTTATTTCTTTCGATATTAAATATTCTTCCAATCGTTCAGAAAACTCTGGTGCTAATTTCAAATTTTAATATGCTTCATTATATGATGAAATTACATTTATAAACATGATTACTCACATGCTTCCATTTTTGCTATTACATAATCTTAATTATATTTAAAGGTTTTTATTCATATTGCTATCATAAAAATTTTTGCCACTTAGGTATCAATGTTTTGTGAAATTTAAGAGATACGTACGTACGACAGGAAAAGTTAAAATGGAAGGTCATATGTTACACAAACATGTTCACTGTTAGCGTAACGTTAAACAACTCGAAAATGGATTTCGCAGAGGTTAAGAAAGTAAAGCGCGCGCATATTACTTTAAAAGTTGTCAAAGAAATTTTTGAAATTTTTTTTAGGCAGCTTGAAATTATAATTTCGTTTAGTCGGGATCTTGGTCATTCATAATTTGAATTGTCGGAATTCTGACTTGTCGGGATTTTGACTGTCGGGATTTTGACTGACTGTCGGGATCTTGACTATTCGGGATTTTGACCATTCGGGATTCTGACTTGTCGGAATTTTGACTGTCGGGATTTTGACTGTCGGGATTTTGACTGTCGGGTTCTTAACTATTCGGATCTTGACCATTCAGGATTTTGAATTGTCGGGTTATTGACTTGTCGAGATTCTGAACGCACCTAGTATCGCCACCAAAATCAGTTACGTAATCGCTTTTTAAATTTCAATCTGCGCACAAGAATAATAATATCATGAGGTCACAAGTTTTTTTGAAGAAATAGGAAGTTTTTTTATATTTATTCAACTTATTAGAATTATTTAATTATCGCTTATGGTGTTTAATTTGGAAAAGAATAAAGAAGAAAAGGTTAGGTCTCTTCGAAAAATAGTTCAAAATAAGGGTTGAAGAAATACAAACTGGTTTAGTCAAGATAAATCCATATAAGAGTTAGGATAGGCATATAAAGTAGAATTATATAGTTTAAATCGGTAACTGTATATAGCAATATGTATTTCACCAAAACTGTTTGAAACACAAACACAAACATTAGTCTTCTACATGTCTAATATCAGAGGATAAGATGTTAAAGACCTGGATAACCAGGTTGAGGTGGTTCTCAAAATATCAGCCATCTCAACAAAACATTCACCCTATTGTTCTTGGTGACTTTAATACACATGATAATGTTTTTAGCTCCTCTGTTGTTCACATTTAAACAATTCTTTGCACACTTGGTCTAACAATACAAGCTCTAGCAGAAATTGATTATATCTAGATTAACTCTTTCAATATTCAATTTCTCTTAGCTTATAATCTAGATAATAGTAAAACAAGTACACTCAGTGACAATCTTATACTTTCTACTATCTGGATCTTTTCAAATGCATACAGTAAACTACCTCACCTATGTACTAATATTTGTTACAGTATTTTTAACTACAAATTGACTACCCCTGACCAATGGCTCAAATTTTCTGACTTTACTACTAAACTTTTTTCATAGTACAACATTCCTCTTTCAACACAATCCTCTCTAGACATTAATACTATATGGCATAAGATCCAATACAGTATTATACAGGCTGCAATCCAAACTATCCCTAATAAAAAAAATTTACAAACAAAGCTATAATCACAAATATAGCTCCATTGCATTGCTTTCTATACTGGTTTTAAAAAATTTAGCCATCTTATTAAAATTATTTACAAAAATACAGACCAATCCAACATGAATTTTCAATATATTAATTCAAATATTCTACTCATCAACTCATATACAAAATACAATTATTTAGAAAATTAAATAAGTGCAAATTTGCAAAAATCTGTATTTTTGCAGATTTTTGAAGAATTGTTGTAAAAAATCTGCAAAATTTTTTAGAATTTAAAGTTTTGCACAAAATTGCATCAAATTTCTGCATTAATAGTATAAATTTTGAAGTTTTACACTCAGACAACAAATCAACTAAGCTTTAGAAAAAAGGTGTAAAATACTTGTTTTCAAGCCCACACATGCAATAAACAGCATACTTGACTATTATAGGCCTCCTTCCAAACCAACTTATTACAGATTCTTCAGAAATTAAACAATATTTTCATAACTGGGCTGTACACAAATTCATTAATCAATTACTGTTTAATAATTTCTAAAAACAATAATACTCTCTTTTATCTTACATCAATTCTAAATAATACAACTCACTCACTATTTCTATAATAATTGAAGAAGTTGTTCTTACTATTTCTAAATTGTCTAATAACAAAGCCTGTAGCCTTATAGGCATAAGTTATAAAATGTTTAAACATCTTAGCCACCACTGTATTACCTCCTTTACTGCTTTTCTTAACTGCTGTTTTCTAGAAAACAACATTCTAAAACAATGAAAGCATAGTAGAATCTATTTCATTCTTTTTTTTTTTTTCTAGTATTAAGGTGACCTCTTTAGCCGGGAAATATTTTATTAGATAGTTATGTTTTTCAATTACAGTAAGGGTACATATAGCCACACGTGTATCTTTTAAGTGCCTAATTTAAGTAGTCCGCCTGAAGGTTCTACACTATCTGCTGTACCTGTACCCCAACTAGGGGGTACCCATTTAAACCCTCTAACCATAACCTACTTCCAAACCAATGGATACTACCTAACCTGAGGCATAGCTTACTATACACAGGTAGTTCACTATTG